TAGTAATAACCGTTATAAAAATAACTAAAATAAAGAACCACAACCCTCTGTCGCATATTCAGCCAGTCACTAGATCACAAAACTTGCGATACATGATCATCCCTTCGAAGATTATACATAAAACGAAGACACGAATTCTGCACAACCCTCCTTAAACTCTCCTGGAGTAAACATGAACCAAATACAACATCACAATAATTAAAGTGACACAATACAAGAGAATCACAAAGGAGTCGTTTCAAACCCTACGAAAAAAGATATCTTACTACAGTGGAGCCTTCTTAGAGAATCATAAGCACGCCTACATAATAAATTAATATGCTCATCAAACGCAAGCTGATCATCAATAATAAGACCTAAACTCTTAACCGAATTGGTTAGTCCTAACAGTACTCCAAGCATCCTAATATTAATATCATCCTTTTTAACAAATAAACTACCCTTTTTAGTAAATAAAATACATTGAGTCTTGTCAGGGTTGACCAAAAGAGCATGTCTCTTAATTTCCATACATAAGTGATTTAAATCCTCTGTTACTTTATTACAAGCTTCCTATCGCTCACCAGGCAGGAGATCTAGATACAGTTGGGAATCATCAGCATAAAGATGATAAGAACAATACTTTAACTTTTAACAGAAAGTTAAATAAGTGTATATTTGCAATTAAAAATCTGATAAATATAGTACCATCTAACTTTGATTGTCACTTATTATGGATACTTCTACCCACAAGTGTCCTACGCCATTCTATGTTGGGGTCACTCTGCTCACGCTGCTCAGGCTTTTCAAATGCTAAGGAGATGCTTGAGAGTCATAACTGGTTTGCGCTTTGCCGAATTCTTCAGAACCAAATTCTCTGAGCTGAATATTATGACTGTATATATATTCTAGAATGTCTACCATACATTAAAAATAATCCAACATCATATCGTAAAGTGAGCGATAATCACAATTATCAAACTAGATAATAACGATATTGAACTAAATTTTACACGTAGTGTGAGAGCTCGAAATGGTGTGAACTATTATGCCGCCAAGCTATTTAATGTGCTGCCCGAGCGTGTCCAGACAGTTTAAATCTAAAATAAGGCTTTACCTTGGATTTAAAAGTTTCTACAATAAAACAAAAATGATGACAAATTTAGTACTTAGCAAACCTGTGAAGGTGGAAAACGAAAACATTGAAATCACTAAGAAATACATATACCTTGGCCATGAAGTCAGAATTGATAGAGATAATCAGACGTGCAAGCTCTCGAGAGGAATAACGTTGGGTTGAGCAGCTTATGGAAAACTTTGGGACATATTTAGATATCCCCATAAGCATGAAATGGAAAGCATTCAAACAATGTGTGCTCCCAGTTTTAAGATACAGTGCTGAAACACTATCACTTACAAAGACATCTGTTAGAAAACTACAAGTGACACTACGCAGAATGGAGAGATCCATAAACGCAGTCGGGGTAGACCACCGACTCGCTGGACAGATGACCTCAGGAGAATTGCAACAAACTGCATCGCAATAGATTAGAAGAGGGAGGACTGGAGATGTCTTGAGGAGGCCTATGTCCAGCAGTGGACAGAAACGGGCTGATGATAATGATAATCATGGACGAAAATGTTGAAAAACTGCCTAAAATAGTATAATCAATAATACTTATTTCAAATTTGTTTGCTATGAAGATGGTGCGGCACTCATTGCCGATTCATTAAATATAAGTAGGTATATTCAAAATCTGAAATCAAATGATTCAATTATTTCTAATCAATTCAATCTCGGCGAATAAATTTCTTCATTTTTCGATTCATTTACAATTTTCAATAGATTTATGCATTTTTTAATAGGTTTGCTCACCGAGATGAAACGATTGTGAGATGATCTTTGATGAGTTTCTACGAAAATTAATTAGTCTCGCGGAGAATTATTTCCATTATCGGTTTAGACGACTACTATTAATTACGCTGAATTCCCAAACGATTTATGACGTATCTAACAAACTTGTTCACGCATCACATTATTTATTTTCGTTATTTTTGAATTTGATTTCGAGTTCCTTTTTTGTGTAGTTTTTTCAATTTTTGAGAAACATTATGATTCCGCAACTTCCTATTTATTTTTTTATGATTTAATTTCGATTTGGTAAAAAGATATGAGTAATTATTGATAAGCTAAGTATAAATAAAAACATTTTGTAAATAAACTAACAATTACTCACGAATTCCTTTAACGTAATCGATGACCACAATTGTAATTGTGGTTGTTACAAAATTAAAACCAAACCTAAATAATCTAAAACTAACTTTGTGTAATTCCTTTCTCTCTCAATCTTTCTGCGTTTTCAATTTCACACGGAATAATTAATTTAATAGCGTAAACACACGACAATCTCAAGAGAGCACTAATTAAAAATTAAAACCAGCCAAGTATGAAAAAAACAAAAATGAGCACAATTACAATCTCATCTAAGGTGATTTAAGAATCTCTCTCTATCAAAAGTGTCCTCATTCACAACGATTTTATAAAACGATTACGTATTTATGCACGCAATCGTTTTTATCTAAGAAAAGAATGAAGAAAAACTCTTTTCTGCATAACTAACTTTAACTCTCAATGTCAACGTAATTTCGTAAACTAAAAAACCTAACTAAAATAGTATTGGATAATAAAGTGAGTTGCAACAAAGTTTGAAAAACCATATTCGTCTTTCTTGTGTTGTCTGTGTTTTATGGTAACACTAATTAGAGAATGCGAAACATTCACTTTCTACGGTTCGGTATTAAATAGAACCAAATAGAGCGTTGCGAATCGAAGAAGTTGTGTTCTACGAGATGGGAGTTTATTTTTTTGTAGTTTTTGCTTTTAAGAAGTGACCTAAAAAAAGACTTTTGGCAAATGAAAAATCAACAAGTGTTTAATATAAATTCCAATTGAAACTCAATTTAAAACTTGAAAAGCGGTCTAAAAATAAAATTATTGTACGTAATTGAATGTTTTAACAAAATTATTTTATAATAATAAAATTATTTCTACGTAATCGTATAATTATAATTAGACAGGTTTTCCTGTAACATTTTGTGGTTTTATAACAAACTTGACATTTTAATAGAATATGTAGAGCCATAAGTTCATTTCGCATCCTATTGTTTGCGGTTAAAAAGTTAAAACAGCACGAGCCACGTTTAAATAATAAGTAATAACAAAAAATTGTTCGTTCTTTGTTAACATTTTGCGAAATGACTTTAAACATTTTTATCTCGTTCACGAAGTGTGAAGAGGTCCCGCAATTAAACGTTATTTCTTTGTTGCGGTTTTCTTTTAGTATTACGTTATGACAAGTGTCAACAATTTTATTATGCGCACTCAAATGTTGATTAATTTCTAACAATTATTATCAAATATAATATATTTTTAAGTCATTTATAATTTTCCAGGAAAGATTTTATTTTTAGAAACTTTCCAGGGTATTGTAGCCACTTTGAATAGATCATTTTTTAATAAAATTAGTTATGGTATAAAAAGCATTGTTACATAAACAGTATCGGTTTCTTTATGAGTTGAGAAATAAATAAATTAATAATTTGGAACATCGTTTGATCATAAGCATATGAGTTTTAAAATGGAAATTAAAAGTAGGAAGACTGCTAGACGAGGAAGGAAGGTTATAAAAGAATTGAAAAAGTGAAATGGAAAATGTTGATAAAAACAAAGTGGATGATAACGTGGATGAAATTAGGAGTAAGAAAACTGCTAGAGGAGGTAGAAAGGTTACACAAGAATTGAAAGGTAAAACGGAGGAAACGATTAATATGGATGAAAATAAAATAGGGAAGAAATCTCGGGTTAAAAAAACTAGAAAAGGCTTCCAATAACAAAAAGATGAAATCAAAATAGATGTTGGGAATGGAATGATAATCTCTTAATCATTAGAATCAACTTAAATATTAAAAATCACTAGAATCAAATTACATATTGAAAATCATTAGAATCAACTTACATATTAATAATCACTAGAATCAAATTACATATTAAAAATCATTAGAATCAACTTACATACTTATTAAAAATCATTGGAATCAATTTACCTATTAAAAATCATTAAAATCAACGTACATTTTCAAAATCATTGGAATCAACTTACCTATTAAAAATCATTAAAATCAACGTACATTTTCAAAATCATTGGAATCAACTTACCTATTAAAAATCATTAGAATCAATATACATATTAAAATCAATAGAATCAACTTACATATTAAAAATCACTAGAATCAAATTACATATTGAAAATCATTAGAATCAACTTACATATTAAAAATCACTAGAATCAAATTACATATTGAAAATCATTAGAATCAACTTACATATCGATACCTTACTTTGAAAACCTCGTAAGTGCAATTTTTTGTAAAATTGAACTTTATGCGTCATTACATTAAAGGCATCATATTTTATGTTATGTGAGAACCTCGTATAGTCATCATGAATAATACGCCACCTATTGGCGAATTTGAATACCTCGTAAGTTAACCGTTTGATATTTCTAACTGAAAACCTCGTAAGTTTTAGTTTTGCAATGGCCGTTAACAGGTTGTATGTCGTGTCAGTGTTTNTTCCAGTTTCTATAAATTTTGATTTTGGGCTTTATCAACATATAAAAGACATCACCGTCAAAAGTTTCTTAAAAACGATATTTGTAGTTAAATTTCAATAAATTACTTTAAATCGGACACTTATTTTTGGACAAAAACAATCCATATCGGACACTTATTTCTGGACGGAGGCAGTATTAGATTATTTTTGAAATAACTGTTAATATAATTGTTACATAATGTTCTACTAATAAAATTTAAGATTCGTTACATTGTAAAGGGTTAGTCATTCATCGTTTATTACAAAAAAGTTAAGAGGTTTTCACATACCGCTATTTAAGCCTATTTTAAAGTTACGAGTCTTTCTATCAGCAGATTAATTATTATTAAACTTATAAGTTGCTTATTATTATTATACCACTTGTTTGTGCTCAGCTGACATAAATTGCCAAGTTGTCGTTTTATTTGACCAAGTTATCAAAATTATCTCGCGAAGAAATTGTCAGTGTAATAACGCTATAACTGATATCGTTCCTTTTGGTTGACTTATATGTTAACCGTCAACATACTGTCACTTGCAAAATGGTCGTTTCATTTGCAAATAAGTTAGCATAATTCTTCAAGTTTGCTCAGCTCAGACGAGTGGTAGAATAATAAGCAACTAATATTTTCTTTTTAACTTCCGTCGTTTTGCTAACACTGTTTTATTTTTTACAGAGACATGAATACCCATACGAAAAAAATATTCCAGTTGTTGCCTCAGAAACTAAAAAAGCCTGAAACGGCTAATATAGATATTCAAAATGAATCTTGTACACAGCTGCCTACTCAGTACTATGTTAGTAATAAAGCTCCGGATTACAACAAATTTACCCACGAAATAGCAACTTCTGCTAGTGATGATGTATTAATTTTACCATTTGATGACGAATTATTACCGATATTACCTAGTAATGACTCAACACTGTTTGAACTCATGCAAAATGAAGGTCACTATGATAACCCAAGGGAATGCGTTAAAGAATCTGATTCGGTTCCAAATAATTTAAACAACATAGAATGCGACAAACAACACGTAACAAACTTAAATGAAGATACTCTACTGATTGAAGATACTGACCAAAACGAGGAAAATAAAGTTGAAAATATGAAAGACATTAATACGAATCGTAGCTATGAGGCGGATCCTGACTACAACCCAAATGAAGATAGCATTGAAAACGAAGATAGCGTTGAAAACGAAGATATCATTGAAAACGAAAACAGTGAAGAAAATGAAACGCCCAACAAAAAAAGGCAACGTAAAAGAAAAAGTGACAGTATGATGTGGAATTATAACAAAAATAAATTCAAGAGAATGAAAGGAGTAGATTACAAAGGAAGGGGTAAATCTGAGAATGGTAAAGCGGTATTTAACAAAACCAGACCAGCTCGAAAAATGCTGGTACCGTGCAACTGCAAGCACAGTATAAAAGAAAAAACTTTAAAGTGTAAGGAATTTTCAGAGGAAACACGACAGCAAATATATACAAACTTTTGGGAAAAATTAAACTGGGAAGAAAGAAAACAGTACATAAAGGCGTTGGTTGATGTTCTACCATCAGTTAGGAGAAAATCTGAAGATCTATCTCGACGAGGTTCAACGTTTGTTTTAAGACTAAAAAAACATGGAGTATCTTATAGGGTTTGTAAAAAAATGTTCCTCAACACGTTAGCCATTGGAGAATGGTCATTACATAATTGGGCAAAAGTAGTCATTACACAGGCAACTATTAACGAAGAAAGTAACAAGAGAATAAGTCCTCAAATATTAGAGGCAAAGAAAATTTTGCGTAGTTTTTATGAGAGATTACCCAAAATGGAATCTCATTATTGCAGAGCCAGGAGTAGTAAATTATATCTTGAACCCATATGGCAATCAAAAGCAGACCTGTATTTAGAATATCAAAAGTATTCACAACAAGAAAATCCACAAGTGAAAACACTTTCTATTAAAACATTTTATGCTATATTTGACGAAATGAACCTTAGCTTGTATCAATCTAAAAAAGATCAGTGCGACCTTTGTGCCAATTTTAAAGCAAATAATTTATCAGAAGAAGAATATTTACAGCACCAAAAAAGAAAAGAAGAGGCAAGAGAAGAAAAAGTAAAAGATAAAAAAGAAGCCAAACACGTTTTTTGTATGGATTTGCAGAAGGTTTTGCTGTCGCCACATTCAAACATTTCATCCCTCTACTATAAACGAAAACTTTGCGTCCACAATTTTACACTTTATGATATGAAGAACCATAATGGATCTTGTTACGTATGGCATGAAGGAGAAGGAGATATAACAGCCAATGAATTTTCCAGTATAATTTGTAGCTATGTGTCAGACCAAAAAGTAGAAGGAGGAGAAGAAATAATTATCTACAGTGATAACTGCGGTTATCAGAACAAAAACTCTATTTTGTCCAACGCCCTATTAAATTTGTCAATTGAGAAAAATATTGTTATAATACAAAAGTTTTTGGAAAAAGGCCATACGCAGATGGAAGTGGACAGCATGCATGCTTGTATTGAACGAAGATTGAAGAATCGCGATATTAATGTTCCTGCGGAGTATGCTGTCCACTGCCAAAAAGCAAGGCAACTACCAAAACCTTACACTGTCCACTATCTCAAACACACATTCTTTCGAAATTATTTAAGTGTAAATTTTGTTAACTCTATTAGACCAGGTACTCGCTCGGGAGACCCAGTTGTCCATGATTTAAAAGCTATAAAGTATACACCCAATAACGAAATATTCATAAAGTTGAACCACACCGATGGATGGAGTGTGTTAAACAAACGTTTTAATAAAAATGTGAAACCAGTTGCTAATAATTCTTTGCCAAAATTGTTTTCTGGGCCTAGGAAAATCACTAAAGAGAAATTTGATCATTTGCAGGAATTAAAGAGCTCCCTGTTATCTGATTTTCATAGTTTCTATGACCAGTTAAAATTTAAATAAACCAAATTTTAACATTCTTTTTTCTATATCATTAAAAGTATTAATTTTTTAGCACAATAAAATATGTGCAATAATTCTTATTTTTTGCTTAGCTATGACCAAATATTTTATGTTTATTGTAAGGCAGTTTAATTTCGTTTAACTTTCATAAGAATAAACTTTTTTTTAATAAAATATAGGTTTTTTTTTGCCGCGCCGCACTGAATACCTCGTAACTTAAAATTTAGTTCCGACTTTAAAATGAAAAACTCGTATGTTTATTAAAAAAATATATTAGACCATTTTTAAAAATTTCTGTTAAATTGTTTCTACTATATGCTTAAATAAATAACATACTAAAATTTTGTTTTCAAAACTTAGTTACAACTAACACAAAACAGTTTTTCTTTGTTTCTGCAAAACATAGGAAAATGCACTTACGAGGTTTTCAAAGTAAGGTATCGATAAGCTAAATAAATAGGCGTTAAAGCCAATATGCAAAAAAAGAAAAACTTTACACAAGAAAGGACACGAAACATCTCACAAGATGATATTGAATCAGTGGAACAATTTACATATCTGGAAGTGGAGCAGAACAACGATGGCTCTATAAANTAAGTTGCTTTTAAATGCAGCTGTCACATAATATCGATACCTTACTTTGAAAACCTCGTAAGTGCAATTTTTTGTAAAATTGAACTTTATGCGTCATTACATTAAAGGCGTCATATTTTATGTTATGTGACAACCTCGTGTAGTCATCATGAATAATACGCCACCTATTGGCGAATTTGAATACCTCGTAAGTTAACCGTTTGATATTTCTAACTGAAAACCTCGTAAGTTTTAATTTTGCAATAGCCGTTAACAGGTTGTATGTCGTGTCAGTGTTTGGGCGATTTTGGTTAGATAAATAAGAGTAGGTAAGTAGTTTTGTAATTTTTATGTGTAATCTAAGGATTGTTACATAATGTTCTACTAATAAAATTTAAGATTCGTTACATTGTAAAGGGTTAGTCATTCATAGTTTATTACAAAAAAGTTAAGAGGTTTTCACATACCGCTATTTAAGCCTATTTTAAAGTTACGAGTCTTTCTAACAGCAGATTAATTATTATTAAACTTATAAGTTGCTTATTATTATTATACCACTTGTCTGAGCTCAGCTGACATAAATTGCCAAGTTGTCGTTTTATTTGACCAAGTTATCAAAATTATCTCGCGAAGAAATTGTCAGTGTAATAACGCTATAACTGATATCGTTCCTTTTGGTTGACTTATATGTTAACCGTCAACATACTGTCACTTGCAAAACGGTCGTTTCATTTGCAAATAAGTTAGCATAATTCTTCAAGTTTGCTCAGCTCAGACGAGTGGTAGAATAATAAGCAACTAATATTTTCTTTTTAACTTCCGTCGCGTCGTTTTGCTAACACTGTTTTATTTTTTGAAAAGACATGAATACTCATACGAAAAAAATATTCCAGTTGTTGCCTCAGAAACTAAAAAAGCCTGAAACGGCTAATATAGATATTCAAAATGAATCTTGTACACAGCTGCCTACTCAGTACTATGTTAGTAATAAAGCTCCGGATTACAACAAATTTACCCACGAAATAGCAACTTCTGCTAGTGACGATGTATTAATTTTACCATTTGATGACGAATTATTACCGATATTACCTAGTAATGACTCAACACTGTTTGAACTCATGCAAAATGAAGGTCACTATGATAACCCAAGGGANACATTATTATACAAGAAGAGCTAATATCTCTATGCACAAATTAAGAGATGAAAATGCAGTTTATGCAGGGCTATCAAAAGTTTTGGCTTCAAAAAGATATACGGTTGTTCTACTCGGGTTTATGGTCAGTAGTGACACAGAAATATTTGCTGGCATTTCCAACGTCGTACCTGGTAGAAAGGGGGTAGTGTAGTTTGAAATCTACTCAACAAAAGGAGAAATCGTTTGGATATCACTGCACGTGGTGATTTAAGAATGCTACTCACTAAATTTAACACGTTCGCGACTACGAATTAACTTGTATGTAAACCATGATAAACGGTGTCTCTCGGCAGCGAACGTGTTAAACCTGATATAGATAAATTATTATCAACTCACCAAGTACATCTATCCCATTAAATTTATGTTTTTGGAGAAACTTTAAATATTGATTTGATAAAGCGGAGTAGAAATAAAAATCGAGTATTCAACGAAAAATCCAATTCCGGACGGTACGACAGCTTATGCATTAATTCTGCATGACAGAGCATTTGTGTATTCGCCTCTTACGAAAATGGTTAAGCAATTAATATAGTGGTAGTGCTGAAGCGACGTCATTTAGTGTATCTATAAACATTTGCACAAACGTTTGCATATATTGGTTTATTAGTAGTAGTAGTTTATTATGGTTTTTCAAAGGGATTTTATTTTGGACATTCAAGGTTTCACGGTGAACGATGAAGAATTTATTCCAAAGGAACTGGCTTCTTATGACAGTAATCATTGCATAAGTCATTACGTGTTTCAACCTAGTCGAAGCTTTTCTTCCCTATCTACCAAATTTCGCAATACAGCGAATTGGTTAATGAGCCATTATCATTGTATTGATTGGAACGACGGGTTTATTCCTGCGTCTCGTTTCGATGGGATCGTTTGTTATTTGTGTTGTTCAACAAAAGTAGCATACGTAAAAAGACGTGAGAAAGCTACATTTTTATGAAGAATTTTAAGAATACCGGTAAAAGAATTGCCGGAAAATGAATGCAAATTGGATGTTGGTGCGCCGATGTGTCCCTATCATAAAAAGAGACAAAGTATGTGCTCCTTGTCAAATGTTTTTTATTTATCGAACAAATTGAGAAAGGCAGGCGAATAGCAGCAGTAGAGCAGTTCAAGATGAAACGTCTTTGGTGCTTAGTTACCAGGTTGGAACATTCAACTTTTATAATTAATAAAGTGTGGGATATTATGGAAAGATACGAATCTGATTTATCTTTTGAGAATATTAAAAACGAATTTTTTTATTTACCAATCGATTATTATGTCAATAAAGTAAAGCCATTAGATTTGGCGGCGGTTTGGTTTAAATTACCGTTGAAGTATAGAAACGATGAGCGATTACAAAGCAAGCTGCCGTGTTTTGAACATTACAATTTAGCTCATTGAGAAACGCATATTGATGGTCCACCATCGGCAAGAAAGGATTGTTCTTTATGTAAGGTTTAATATATAAACATTGTAAGTTATAGATTGTAAATTATAATAATAATAATAAAAAGAAGTCGCGTGAATGCCGTCGTCCAAGTAGTAACACAACTTTTCGGCTGCGTGTTATTTAGTGTTTATTATTGTTAAAAATGCGTTTCACGGATGAAAATTTACGAGAGCTTAAGGTTTTATTTAGCGAATCAATTGGTGACTTAGTAAAAAACGAGACTTTTATGTGCAAAGTTATAAGCGTTGTGAAGGAACATTTTGTGGCGGAAATTGAGTCACTCAAACAACAAAACGAGGACTTACAAAGGGAGAACCAGTTATTGAACAAAAAAATAGATGGTCTCGAGCAATACTCGCGCCGTAACAATATTCGAATATTTGGACTTGACGAGGAAAAGGAGGAAAATGTTGAACAAAAAGTTCTAGCGACCTTAAAAGATAATATGGGGATTTCGGTTCTTGCGGAGCAGATTGATCGCTGTCATCGCGTCGGAGCTCGGAAGAAGAATGGTAAACATCCTCGTCCTGTCATAGTGAAGTTCCTAAGTTATAAAACTAAAGAAGAAATTCTTAAAAATCGCAATAAATTGAAAGCGGCGAAAACGTTAAAAATAGGAATTCAAGAGGACCTTACAGCTAGTAATTATAAATTATTTAAGGAAGCTTGTAAAAAATTCGGAAATAGGCAATGTTGGACGAGGGATGGAAGAATATTCGCTAGGAATAATGATACAAAACTTATAATTAGGGACATCAGCGATCTAGATGTAGAGAAGAATAACAAGGTTTCTTTAATTGATGCTTCTTTTTCTCTATCGCAATAATAATCGCATGCTTTTCATTATTATTATTGGTAGTGGCATTTTTATTTTATTTGTTTCATTATTGTTATAATTTTGTTTTTGTTAGTTTCATTATTCGCATTGTTATAATAATGTTTTGGTTCACACGTAGGCTGAAAGGTGTTCGTAGCATCGGCAGTTTAAACGGACAATTAATTTGCTGGTTGCTTTGTTAAAATCTTTGTTTTATTTTCTTTATTTGTTTATTATTATTATTGTTTTTTTTTTTTTATATTTAGTTAAATGGTTTTATCTGTTGGCCATTTAAATGTACGTTCTCTTCTGACCTGCCTTGATGAAGTATCGAATGTACTTTTTCAGAAGAAATACTCGGTGTTGGGATTGACTGAAACGTGGCTTAATGATAATGTCAACAACGAACGGCTGTCTATTGACGGTTATACACTTATTAGACGAGATAGAGTATCGCGGGGTGGAGGAGTAGCAATGTATATAAGTAAAAATTTTAAATTTCGCGTTTTTTCCTCTGGCAACGGTGTGGAGCAGCTTTGGATTTCAATTAATAGTGGAACAAATGATTTGGTTATAGGCGTTGTGTATAGGCCCCCTAATTGTGATTTTAACTTCTTTGTTTCGGAATTAGAGATTGATTTAAGTGCGATATGCTCTGAGCATGAAATCGTTACTGCTGTGGGCGACTTTAATGTTGACCTTATGGCTTGTGGTGGTTCCCGGCCTGCACTACTGCTTGATTTAATGAATTCTTTTGGTCTAACTCAAATAATTCAAACGGCCTCTCGCGTTACAGCTTCCTCTTCAACTTTAATTGATTTAATTTTTATATCTGATCTTAATTTGGTTCTTGATAGTGGCGTTAGTTATTTTAATGCATCTGACCATGACTTGACGTATTGTTTACTAGATGTAAAACGTAAAGAGTCTTGTCCCTATTTGCGAACTTTCAGATCTTATAATAATTTTGATTACGTTCGCTTTCAATCTGATTTATTTCAACTACCTTTTTTTAATATATTTGATATAGTGGACATAAATGATAAGGCGGATTATCTTAATACTCTATTAATTGAGTTGATGGATCGGCATGTGCCTATGATTACCGCCCGTTTCACTAAACCGCCGGCCCCATGGTTAACTTACACAATTCGAAAAATGCAGCGTCTCAGAGACTCTGCATATGGGTCTTTTAAGAAAAGTAATAGTCAAGCGACATGGGAATATTACAAGTCCTTGCGTAATTTAACAAATCAAGCGATTCG